GCGCCTGGGTGGCTCAGTTGGTTAAGCGACTGCCTTCGGCTCAGGTCATGATCCTGGAGTCCCGGGATCGAGTCCCACATCAGGCTCCCTGCTCAGCGGGGAGCCTGCTTCTCCCTCTGACTCTCCTCCTTCTCATGCTCTCTGTCTCTCATTCTCTCTCTCTCAAATAAATAAATAAAATCTTAAAAAAAAGAGAAGGTCACAGTGTGGGCCCTAATCCAGTAGGACACAGGCTGAGACCGCAGCAAGACAGAGGCAGAGACTGCAGACCACGGAGGACTGACAGCCACCGCCAGAAGCTGAAAGAGGCAGAAGGATTCTCCCGGTCTCAGGAAGGCTGCCGCCCTGCTGACACCTTGATCTTGGACTTCTGGCCTCCACAACTGTGAAGAGAACAGACTCTCATCTCAACCTACTCAGTTTGCTGTACTTGGCGACGGCAGCCCCAGAAAACACAACACACTCCCACCTGAGGCTTGGAGACCTTTCCTGGAAAGGGAAAGAAGCCACATCTGCAGGGGCCTCAGCCTGGGGGGTTACTCGTGGGAACACCAGCTCGGCGGGCAGCCCATGCCACACCTGATTCCAGACCTGCCACGTCACAGGCACAAACGACTGTCCCTCTCCAAGCCTCTATTTCCTCATCTGTAAAATGGGACGAGTAATAGCACCTTCCTCCCCGTATCAGTTAGCAAGGGCTGCTGTAACAAAGCATCACACAATGGGCTGCTTGAACGTACTGTGTCCCAGTTCTGGAGGCGGGAAGCCCGGGGTCAGTGTGTCTCAGGGCTGTATCCTTCCAAGGACCAAGGACCAAGGACCTCGAGGGAGAATCTGCGCTGGAGTCTCTCTCCTGGGCTCATAGGTGACTGGCCGCCTTCTCCCTGTCTCTTCCCTCGGGCCTGTCTGCGTCCTAATCTCCCCTCCGTATGAGGACACCAGTCACTGGAATAGGGCTTAATCACGTCTGTACAGACCCTCTCTGCAAATCAGGCCTCGTGCTGAGGTCCTGGGGATTAGGACCCCAACACATCTTTTGAGGGGACACAGCAGAACCCATAACACTCTGAAAGTGGTTTGCAGGATCCGTGGGGATAACGGGTTAGTCATCTAGGAAACAGCCTCTGTTTGGCTTTGAGGGTGGAGGGGGTTAGCAGAGCCGTCAGGAACACACACTCTGGAGCCATCAGATGACAGTTCAAATCCCCTGGCTCTACCCTGAGAAGCGGTATGACCCTGGCCAAGTCACACAGCTTCTCTGTGACTCGGTTTCCCCCTCTGTAAAAACAGATAATACTAGAACTTGCTGGGTAGAATGGGGGGGGAGAGAGCACCACAGCACCACATGTGTGATAGGCCCTAGTTGTATAAAAAAGCCAAGGGAGGGCCATGCTGGTGGCTCAGTCGGTTAAGCGTCTGACTCTTGGTTTCAGCTCAGGTCATGATCTCAGGGTCGTGAGATCAAGCCCCGACACTGGGCCGCGCTGGGCATGGAGTCTGCTTAGGGTTCTCTCTCTCCTTCTGTTCCTTTCCCCTCCGCTCATGCTCGCTCTCTCTAAAAAAAAAAAAACAACCAAGAAGAGGTATATACACCTGCTTGCTTTATAAATGCACAAACTGTCTCCAAAAGGACACACGAGGACACTGAACACATCTGAGGAAGGCAGCTGGTGGCTAGTGGCAGGGAGGTGTTTGGCTGTAGCCCCATTTGTACTTTCCAAATGTTTAATCCTGTAAAATGGTACCCCTGTTTGAAAACATAAAGACGTGAGCCAGTTCTGAGAATATCTGGTGGGACACGGAAATGAGTGAGTCACCCGTGTGACCAAGTGCAGAAAAATGCCCGCCGAATCCCTGCATCTGCGAAAAGAAACACCCAGCAGAGAAAGTGGGAGCTCCGGGTACTCTGTGCTGTGTGGCGGCGTCCCCCGCTGGACCGGGTACAGAGCCTGCATCTGACTCCTCTCTGCGTCCCGGGCATCACCCATCAGCCACGGGGGCCGGGGAGGCTCAGCAACTGCTGGATGAGTCAGCATTTCCGCCTGCCTTCACTGGGCTAACTCACCCGCCGGCTCCCTGCACACCTAACCTCACCTGGGCCTCTGCGTCTTGTCGGCTCTCGGGCCGAAGGAGTTCGTCTTCCTACAGAGCAGGAGTCCCACAGAGCAAACTTTCCCTGTAAAGGACCAGACTAGGTATTTTTGGCTTTGCAGGCCATACGGCCTCTGCTGTCGTAGGACTAAAGCAGCCACAGAGAATACCTAAGCTAACAGGACCGTGTGCCAATAAAACTTTATTTGTGAACACTGATATTTGAATTCCATACAGTGTTCACACACCCAGAAATATTACTCTTTTGATTTATGTAAACAGTTGAAATGAAAAATATTTTCACGTGACAATGTCAGGAGATATAAAAATGTACGATCTTCACGCGTAGAAATCTACACCTGTCCGAAAACACCAGCACCACACTCTAGGACTTGTGGCCACCCAGGACCTCGCCCCTCAAGGCCGGCGTCCTCCCTCCTACCTTCGATGATCTTCGCGGCAAACTCTCGGATGGACTTGAGGGAGGCCAGGTCCAGGTGCCGGGCGCTGACACGGTGATTAAGGGTCTCCCCGCGAATGTCCTTTGCCGCCGCCTCACACTTCTCCATATCTCGACAGGCCAGAATGATGTTGCCTCCTGCGAGCCCAGGACGGGAAAAAAATATTTTTTAAATCCTCTCCCAGGTACAGAGAGAAAACACACATGAAAACACAGGTCTGCACAAGAGCATGTACACGCGAGCACACAGTGGCACCATTCACAGCAGCCAAAAGATGGAAACCACCCAAATGTCCATCAGCGGCTGAGCGGAGAAGCACAAGGTGGTCCGTCCAGACCCTAGAATCTACTCGGCCACGGAAAGGAACGTGACGCATACTACAACGTGCATGGACCTCACGAACGTGCTTGCTGGAAGCAGCCAGTCACAAAAAAAATATACGTGGCCTATGATTCCATTGACATGAAATATCCATAACAGGCCGATCCACAGGAGGTAGATGGATGGTTCCCGGGGGGGGGGACTAGGGTGACCACTAAGAGGACCGAGCTGTCATTTTGATGAAAATATTCCGAAACTGATTAGCAATGTTCGTACAAATCTGGGAATATACTAAACACCACCAGAGTGTACGCTTGACGGGTGAATTGTGTGATGTGTGGATTGAATTTCAACACAGCCATAAAAAAAAAAAAAAAACTTTAAAAAATTAGAGAAGTGAGAAGAAGCAGGGATTGGAGAAGAACGGGTGTGGATCCACGTGGCTTGTCTGCCCACCATGGGCCCAGCTGCCTCCAACACACCCCGCCTCCCCTCCCTCGGTCCACAAGGGAGCTCAGCCAACCCGGGATCTGTTCATCCTCTGTTGCCGCCGGGCCCTCCAGACAGCAGTGGGTGGGGGTGTCCACCCGATTTCACTTCTCACCTTCTCCTGGGAGGAGCAGGTGCCCCCATCCTTGGGGAAACCCCATGTGGTGGGGGGGTGCTGCCCATCACGGCCCCCACCACTCTGACCTCGGAGGTAGACAGGCAGCTCCAGCCTAGCCCATCAGGACCCATTCCCCCGGCCACCCCAACCCGTCAAGCCCAAAGAAAGTTTCCCATCTCCCCCAGCCCTCACACCTGCCCTCCCACAGCCTTCCCACCCCAGCCAAAGGCAAGTCTGGTCTCCCAGTTGCTCAAACCTAAATCCTTGACTTCTTTTCTGGTGTCTGACTCAACAGGAAATCCACTAATTCTAACTTCAAAAGCGATCAATCCTCCTCCGTGGACTTCCTCCATAACCCCAGTCCAAGTGTCCACAGCCTCCTCTAAGACCCAAAGTCTCCCCTACCTCTCTCAGGGACACCAGCCTTTCTGGCTTAAGCCGGCGTGACTTTGGTTTCTGCCACTTGCAACCAAAACAATCCCCCAGGAGAGCAAACGCTCCATCCCAGACCTCACACCCCAAGCCAGGCGCCCCCTGGGACTTCACCTCTTCTGGCCAGCTCCAAGGCCGTCTGCTTCCCGATGCCCGTGTTGGCGCCGGTCACAATGACGGTCTTCCCAGGAATGGTGGCCTTGCTGGGACAGACCCCGCCCGCAACGTAGTCTCTGCAGGTAAGAAGCGAGGCGGTCACTTCCGTCCATGTGTGCACCCTCACCGCACGTGCCCCTGACTGTTAGGATCCTGGGTGAATGACCCCACTGCGCTTGTGTTCCCCCAGCGGAAAGATGGGAAGGACATCTAACTCCGTGAGGTCCAGTGTGGTGTTGCAGGCAAAAGTTCAGTCTTTGTAAAGACCCACTGGGTTGGTTTCTATGGCTGCCACACCAAGTTACCACAAGCTGGGCCGGTTCAAACCATGCACAGGTAATCTACGGGTCTGCAGGCAGGAGTCCAAGATGGGTCTCACCAAGATAAGGGCTGGGTGTTGGCGGGACTGTGCTCCTTCTGGAGGCTCTAGGGGAGAGGCGGGTCCCATGCCTTTTCCAGCTCCTAGAGGCGCCCACACTCCCTGGCTCGCGGCCCCTCCTCCTCTGTCTCCAAAGTCAGCAGAGCGGTGTCTTCAGGTCACTGACTCTGAAGGACCACTGTGATTGCACTGGGCACCCCCCACCCCCGGACAACCCAGGACCACCTCCCCATCTCAGGGTCCTTAACTCAATGTCACCTGCAAGGTCCCCTGTGACAGCTAAGGTAAGACCTTCACAGTTCTGAGCCCTACAACATGCACATCTTTGGGGGGCTCTTACCCTTTACCCACATTCCCCAGAGGCCAAATACTGGAAACAAGTGAATGTCACTGATAGGGGACCGGCCACGTAAAAATGCCACCACATGACAGAAAGGCCCTGTACAGCACGGAAACCGCCAGCCTCCTGGGGCTAATTTTTTATTTAAGTTAATTAAAAATAAACAGCCATACTTTTTCCCCAGGGCATTCAGCTAACCTTTCATTCTGCCCATCCCATGCCCTCCCTTTATTATTGTTACTATTTTTAGCTCTTCAGAAGTGAAAGACAACAGTATGAATAAAAACAAACAGCAGCTGATGAATTTTATCACAAGGGGAAATTATTTCCATTTAAAAAAGAACTATCTCCGGGCGCCTGGGTGGCTCAGTTGGTTAAGCAACTGCCTTCGGCTCAGGTCATGATCCTGGAGTCCCGGGATCGGGTCCCGGAGCAATCCCGGGATCGAGTCCCGCATCGGGCTCCCTGCTCGGTGGGGAGTCTGCTTCTCCCTCTGATCCCCCCCCTCTCATGCTCTCTGTCTCCCATTCTCTCTCAGATAAATAAATAAAAAAAAAATCTTTAAAAAAAAAATAAAAAAAAAAGAACTATCTCCATTTTCTAGACCTTTCAAAAACACCCAGTTAATATCACAGAGCATTATAATGAATTATAAATCAAAACTCCCTGAAAATGACTTTATCGGATCAGGAGCAACAAGTTCACCATGAAGCCTCATCACAGCGCAGGCAAATAAACCCAAAGGTTTACAGTCTATGGTTTATGCCCTTAAAATATATATATGTGTGGGCGCCTGGGTGGCTCAGATGGTTAAGCGTCTGCCTTCGGCTCAGGTCATGATCCCGGGGTCCTGGGATCAGGTCCCGCATCGGGCTCCCTGCTAGGCGGGGAGCCTGCTTCTCCCTCTGCCTCTCTCTCTCTCTCTCTCTGACTCTCATGAATAAATAAATAAAACATTTAAAAATATATATATATATATATGTGTGTGTATATTTCCATATTCCAATTACTTCCAGGCCTCCCAGCCAATCTCTTGTATTGTGTAAGTGTAATGAAATTATACGTTGCCAATTCTTTTTTTTAACTGTAAGAACACATGAGCTGCACCCTCTTAACCGGTGTTTAAGTACAGTCTCGTTAACTACAAGCCATACTTTGAGCGCTGGGTAGCCGTGTGTGATGGCTATCATAATGGACAGCACAAACGTGAAACACTTCCATCAGCGCAGAAAGTCCCACCCGCCAGTGCTGCTCTAGAATACTGGGCAGCTGGGTTTCTGCGGGCGGGCGGGGGGTGTTAGTGCATTAGCCTAGAAAAGACAAGACCCATGTGTATAAGCCGAGCAGTACAATCACTGGGCAATCCGGTTTGCGTCTCGGATTCCGGGTAACGAGAGCTTAGGGAGCACGCATTTCCTTGCACCCGGGTCACGGGTGACCTATGGGGACTGCCCAATACACGTCTGCAGAATGGACTCGATAATCAATGACCAGAAGGTTTACGAGGACTCGGGGTGACCTTGGGCCGTGACCTGCCCTCGAGGCCCTCCCTAGGTTTGCCCCCCCGCCGCACTGTCTGGACCGGTCCGAGGCCCGCGACCACCAAGCGACCTCTCCCCGGCCTGCCACCCCCCCACCTGGAGGCTGCCGACCCGCCCAGCCGCGGCGCGCACTCACCGGAGCAGCACCGCGCCACCCACCGCCGTGCCCAGCACGGACAGCGGCAGAAGGTAGCGGTTCATGGCGGGAAGGAGCGGGGATCCGACGCGGAGCCCGCCGCGGACGGGGCACACGCTCGCCGCACACCCGCCGCGGGGTCGCTCGCAGGACAGGGGCGCGCAGCCGGCGACCCACGTGGGGAAGGGCGAGCTCCGCTCGGGCCAAGGCTTCCGGAGGGGCGGGGCTTAACGGGGCGGGGCTTAACGGGGCGGTGGGCCTGTCAGGAGCGGGGCCTGTGAGGACCGGCCCCCGCGCGGCGGCCCTGGGAGTGGGAGTTTCCGGAGTCGGGGGCGTGGCCGCGGCCTGGGGGCGGGGCAGGAGGGGCGAGCCTGCGCACTGTTCCATGACGTCACGTTCGCGGCGCGCTCACTGAGCTGCGGGGCCGCTGGTACCGCGGCGTTCGGCTGCTTCCGCCGCCCACCGCGCTGCGCTCGCAGGTTGCGCCCGGCAGTGTGCCTTTACTTTTTAATTATTTTATTTTATTTGTGCCTTTCCAATAAGCAACCTGTTCCCACCTAAAGTGCGTGTTCACCAACAGTACCTTTCTCATAGACTATGAGAGAATTTGAGATTTTTGAGACTCCGAAGCCAGGACCTACTAGCCTGGGGGTTCCCAAGCCCTGGGGCCCTGAGAGAGATCAGGGCGTAGAGTCCTCCGTGTGACGGAGAAGGGGCTGGGGGCCAGGACTCCTGTGTCTGAGAGAGGAGGGGGCTGGGGGTCTGAACTCCTGGGTCTGAGGGAGGAGGGGGCTGGGGGCTTGGACTCCTGG